ATTCAACAAGAGTTACCATCTCTTCTGAGACACACAAAGTGAGTTTGTTATCATGATCTTCAGGATAAACACAGTTGGTTCTGGTTTTGGTCCCACTTATGCTCAGCTCAACAGAACTGCAGGCATGCAAATACTGAGAGAACAAGATTAGATGCAATCCCAGTAAATAAAGAGTTTTATCAAATGAAAATCTGACCTTCATGCTGTTGTATCTGAGGTTCTGCAAATGGAAAAACGGTGTCTTGAGAACTGAAGAAGCTGGTCACAAAAATATGATTTTATGATCATCTTTACTTTGCAATACTTTTCAAAAGAAAATTTAACATGAAACCTGATCTTCATGCTCTTCCAAATCCAAGGTCAATAACAGTAACACTTGTCACTGTGCCAACCCCCCCAAAAAACCTGGGTTACTGGATGTACTGAAGTGATAAACACCAGCCAGAATCATGAACCACAGAAGCTAAATCCAGATGGAAATGTCTCTTCTAGAAGTCACCAGATAGTGGCTTTTGAAATATTATTAAAATGCTACAAGCAGTAGAGGCTTTTCATCCAACGTGACAATAAAGAATTTTGATGGAATTTATATCTAGGGGAAAAGACAACGACAAAACAAAACCTAACAAGTAAAGCGTTGCTCAGTGTAAAAGGCATCAGTCTTTGTAATGGAGCAGAAAGATTCATTCTTTTCTCTCTTCTCATGAAATAAAACTCTGTAAATGCTGAGCGAGGGTGTGTTAGTAATCTGAACCCTCTCAATGGTCCATTTGATTTGGTGTCTTGGTAGTTAAGGAGCTGAAACCAAGGAAAAGAGCAGAGCAAACCTGTAATGGCTGTTCCTCAGTAGCCTGCTTCCAGATACTGGTGTTGATGTCCTGAAAAAGCCCTGCTAAATATTTATCTCATTCACTTTTAAAGAGGACAAGCAACAGCTATTCCACAGTTCATAAACTCTTAAAGACAAAAGAGAAAACTGCCCATCCACACTGCTGAGCACAGAAACAAATCCAGGGAGAGCAGTGATGCCTGAAACATGCAATCAGAACCCATTTGTCGAGCTGGTACAAGTCGGAAGGACACAATTTCCCTGGTAACAGGCCTATCATTCCTAGGATCCGCTTTGGCAAAATTGAGCACCACACAGATTCCCTGAAGACTAAACCTAGGTGTTTTGTGATTTGCTCCACCTAACAACACAGCCAGTTCTACAGACTAAAATAATAAAGGAACTGGAAAGCCCATGGATGTTATCCAGAAAAGAAAAAAGAGATTGCTATTTCAAGCTTGCTTTTCATCCCTAGAAACGCTGGTTTCCTACCACCATTTTCTGACAGAAACATCAGACTTCACATAACCACCTAACTGATGATGGAGCAACAGCATACATCGCCTGAGAAAAAGTGGGAATCAAGACAGAGCATCCATGTCACGACCATTAGAAATAGGTTGTATAGATAGACAATTAAGCAGTAAATATTATATTTCTCTGTTGCATTTTTGTTTTTATTTTTTTTCTTTATCTTTGCTTTAATCTGTTCTGATGCCTGGAAAAGGAAACCCCAAAAGAAGTGTCTATCATTTCCCTTTCCATGTAATAAACAACTTGCAGACCAGCTAAAAGTTTTCAGCATAAATCCACTGAATCAGTGGAGCACTGGAAGATGCTGGAAAGTCTGCACATTTCCAACACTGTTATGCTGCAAGAAGCTTCTCTCCAACTAGTTTCTTCACGGAGATGCCCTCAAACTGCAACTGCAATTCCAAAAAAGAAAAGAAAATATCACCCCACATCCGTATTTGAATCCACAAATGGTTCCTCGTAGAATAACACGTTGATTAAGCCATCAAACAAAATGCTCCCTGGCACTGGTAGCAGCAAGGCAGCAGCTGTTTCTGAGAGCAATTATACATCAAGTAAAAGAACTGGCAAGTCTGAAGTTAACATTTAGCTACCTGATCAGGTTATCTTTTGCAGTAGCAACAAAGTGGAGTCAGCAGGAATTTTTCTACCAACAGCAAAGAGAAGAAAAGGAACTTCTGCCTTTCAATTCATTATTTAATATACTTGATGCAACCCTTATGTTCACAATCTGTAGCTACACTGAGAAACATAAGTGATCCAAAACCTCTAAGGACCTTAGTCATTACAGAACATGCAGGAGGAACTTGTTGACAACAGCAGCAGTAATTTAAATCTGCTGGCACTTTCACAGACAAATAGCTCTGTATGAAATCCAGCTGGAGGTGCCTTCTCTGCTTGGTTTCTCAACACTGAAGTCAGGACATCCTGGCCTACATCCAGCGGACGAGTAGCAGGGCAGTTGGTAAATCCTGCAGATAGACCATCACGTGGATCCTTCCTACCCATCACCCCTGGAATAAGGGAAGCTCTCCCAGCAAGCAACATTCCCAATGGGAGGGCAGAACCAGGAAATGCAAGGATGGAAAGCATTTTAAAAACAGATTCAGACACTAATTTTGTCTTCTTTTTAAATGACAAGTCACTGTGCTTAGAGGGCAGCCAGTGGATGGGAGAAGATTATTCGAGATGGGTAAAAACGAGATGGCAGTGTTCCCAAATTCGACACAGAGGTAGAGCACACAGGTAGGCTATGGGTTTTGTCTCTCCTGAGAGAACACAGAACTATTCTACTGCAGTCATCTACAGGGAGAAATGTAGAAATACTCCCCCAGAAGCAGCCTGCATGGTTCTTCTTCATGGTTGAGGGACATGGCTTAGTGGGAGCTATTGGGAATAGATGAACGGTTGGACTGGATGATCTTTTAGGTCTTTTCCAACCTTGGTGATTCTATGATTCTATGATTCTATGTTCACATTTATTCTCAAATATATATTTACTGTTGGGCAGCAACAAATGCCAAAACTGGTGGATCTTTCATGGAAATATTTATTTTTTTTTCTAGATTACAAATCTTCACTAACTACCAAAATCTACAAGCAATAATGTGCCAATGCTGTTAGAGGCGTTTATCCACTTCTCCGCCAGAAAGTTGTTCTCCCTTAGATAAATTCTAACAAATAATTCCTGCCCTTGCCAGGAGAGCAAAATGAATGCTTTCCTTGAGCAGAACTCGAGCAGTCTCTGCATCCTCTTCAATGCCCTTTTCGAAATGAACCCATTGGTTCTCTGGTGCTCTAGTCCAAATACCAGCAGTCTCCCAAGGAACGTGGTAATTGTCTGCCTTCTGAAACATTCACCAGTTATCTCTGCTGCCAATGCCTGCACGTTTGTCACTGGTTCTGGTCCTGCCTGTTCTTGAAAAATCTCCCTCAAAGCCAACTGTGGCCACTTGGATCTGCTGCTCCCCAGCCCTGTGCAAAGCACTGACAAACCTAGCACCAAATGCAGAGCACTAGGGCAAAAACATTCCATCTCTTCCTGCATCGGAGGACATCATTAAAGTTGAAAAAGACCAATAAGGTCATCTATTCAAGCACCCTAAGCCTTCTAACATCAACAAGATGAAATCATTAAAAATCAGAAAGTTTAAAGAGTCCCTCGTTTCACAGCTTTGCCCCACATCTTCTTTTCCGCATAGCAACCCATGGGAACAGAGCCGGGAGAACAAACCCTTGCAGAAGTTTTCCCTATACAACACACAAGTGGTGCAGGACAACAGTGAGCAACTCACCAGCACAGCTGCAGGAGCCTGCTCTTTATCTGTATGTGTTCTCAAAATACTTAGAAAAAAAAATAATCAAAAGAGAAGCAAAGTTAAAAATAATGAAGCCCAAACCTCTGCACTAACTTTGCAATTGTAGACCAATCTGTACTTCAGTCTGTATTACTGCAGGCTAAATTGTACATAGAAACACTGATACACCAATACCTGAAGAGAGGGCAGGAAATTGCTGTTATTTGGATGAGATTGCCTAGAATCAACACATCAGGAGGGGACAGAGGGAGAACTGTGTCAGCCCCTCAGCTGTGTGTTCCCAAGTACCTGCAACCCAGCACTGTGTCACTGAGAAACATGGTAAGGGCATGGGGGGTGGGTTGATGATTGACTCTGGTGAATTTAGTGGCTTTTCCAACCTTAATGAATCTTTGTTGCTGTTCAGACAGGTTGGCAAAGGGAGGAGGGCAAACACGTATCTGGAATTTTCTCCACTTTCTCCACAAAAGATCAGGATCCTTCCGAAAGAGGATCTACAGAACTGGGAAGGTAATGCCTACTGGCCTGCCAGCAGCACTGCAGCAATGTATTTCTCACTTCCAAACTGTTTTAGCTGTATCAATCTGCAGGAAAAAACACCGAAAACAAAAGAAAAACAACTCTACTCAATAGCCAGTCCTGTGGCATCAATCACAAATTACAAATCATTTCTAATGCAGAACCACAAAGGAGAGTGCAAGAACAGCTGTCCTGTAGTAAGAGGAAGAAAGAAATGCTGGCGATAACAGAAAGGCATCATCAGTATTATTGTGACAAAATGTTTGCAATTATTGCAGTGGCAATTTTTCCAAGTAGGTTGGCTTGGAGACAGGTCTCTTGCACTGTTGACTAAATTATTTTCTTTACAAAGGCCTAAGTACCTCTGTTTTCCAGAAGAACAGCCTGAAGCCACTTGGTTCAGAATATTAGTCCCCTGAGATTCAGCTTAGGCTGTAAAGAAGTGAGATGGATGAACAGCAGACTATCCTGTAGATGAACCCAGCAGTGGTTTGGCTACCAAGAACATTTTAGCTAAAGCATATATCAATTTAGAATAAAAGAAGGAGGAGACCTGAGCTAGGTAAAACAAAAGAAGTAAGAAGCAGTATTTGCTAATGAAGCATTTCAAAGCAAGTAAAGCTTCCTAAAGAGAGAGCTGGAACCACTTCATATCACCTCATGTCAGAGACCTGCCTGCCCCCCTCAGAAGCAGGTATGTTCCTAAACCAGCCAACACAGCTATGCAGGACACAGGGGCCGTATTTGTCATCTGAGCATACAGCACTAAGCTTGACGAGCACTTAATGCCCAGCACTTACTTTTTTCTTGAAAGAGAGCATCTGCACTCAGGGGAGGGAACTCCTTGCTGCTGTCTGCACATCTGGCGCGTGGCTGCAAAGCCAGGGCAGGGCGTTGGGGCACAGTGAGCATCTGTCACAAGGTGTCACCTAAACACGTGTATCCATCAGCCTTCATTCACAAGGAAAAGGTCCCAGGCAGCAAATAATTTCCAGAAAAGAGCCAAGTTCAGTCCCTTCGGTAGCTGATCCCAAGAGGATTTGGGGCCACAAGGTCACAATCAATGTCAATTTGCTCCGTCTGTGATTCAGGGTCTTGCTAGTATGTCTTTAGTGGGCTCTCTGCAAAACTCTGTACTAGTGGATGGCACAGAGCTGGATTGGGGTGGAGATATGCCACGGAGACCTTAAGTGGGGAGGAAGAGAGAGATTGGAATGAAGAACTTTGTTCGTCCTTTAAATCTCAACCTTTTTGTTGCTTGTATGCAGTAAATTTCACATGCCCTCATTAAATTAGTCCATTAGATAAACTCCTGTTAATTGAATGACTTGGTCAGCTGTGATTAACTCAGAATTCATTGTGGTTTTGGTATTTTGTGATCGAGCGTAGCTATGGGCAATTCAAACCTCACAACATCAAGCAAAAATTGCCAACAATTAACAGCTTCAGATACGAGCAGCATTCGTCACACAAACATCACTGGGAGCTCACAGCTCTCTGCTCTCCACTTGAATTGTTTATTTAGTCTGTTTTACAACTAAATTTCTTCCCCCACTTAAAGTGACGCAAGCTCGCGCTCACTGGAATCACTCCTCTGCAAACACAACAAACCAGCTCTAGCTGCTAAGCTTTAATCTGTCACCAAAATTTTCAGCAATTGGACCCCTAAGCATTAACTTTGGTAATTAAAGTAGTATGTGTGACAAATTAGCAGAGGGAATATAACAACAGATTTCTGTGCAACGAGGATTTCTACCTTTTGCAGTTACTGATTGACTATCAAAGGCAGTATAGCATGACATATGATGTTCCAGCACCCCTGAGCTAGAAAAGTAAATAATCTGAGTCACCCATAAACAGAAACAAATTCAAATGGTCATTAAAAAAAAGCTACTAAAGCCCATGAAATTAAATACATACATTAATCAATTAAAAACTCTATGAAACAGCAGAGTCGAATTTGGCTGTAGTATATTCAGATGGCTTTGGAAATTGCCCTTCAGTAATCCAATTGAAACTTGGCTTGTTTCCACCTCTGCTTATTCTTCCTGGTTATGTTTACAACATGATTAGATACCAGTCTGAAACATCAGAAAGAAATGAAAAACAGGGTGGTGGAATACAAGAAAAATAAACACTAATATCTAGCTCTCATCTTGGTCTTCTCATTCATCAATCTCCAACTAATTTACCCAAAGCAGCAAATGGCTTCTTCTTACCATTATGATCATAGCCACGAGCTGCTGCACATATTGTGAAACACAGCACGGCAGGAAGGGTCAGCCCTGTGCAGGAACCCAGGCCAGGGTTAGCACAGAACTATAGAATATCCTCCATTGGAAAGGACCCAACAAGGATCAATGAGTCCAACCCCATGCAGGAACACGCTGTAAGGAGCTGTAGGCTGCCATGAGGGCTCCCCTCAGATCCTCTGCTCTGGGACAAAGAAACCAAGGGAACTCAGCTGCTCCTTGTACTTCTTCCTCTCCAGACCCTTCCCCATCTTCATGGATGTGTGGAACTGAACGCCTCTTGTTCCAAAACATCGCTGCAGCAAGGCAGGAATGTAAAGGAAAATAAAGTGATAAAACTCACCAATGAACCCTTTGCACTGATGCAGACCCGAGCCCTGAAACAGCACCAGCCAAGGATCATTCTGCTAGAGCCTGTAAGGCTTCTGAGAAAGATGGAAATCTGTGCCCATGAGTTTCCTGTGGATAGCTAACAGTGCAGAAGTGCAAAGTGAGTGGGAATGAGAAGGTGCAGTGCTACAAGGAAGGACATTAGCAGATGCGTATTGGTTTCAGTACACAGTGCCTGTGCCACCAGTTCAGCCCCAAAGCAGGATCAGCTCAGAAACAAGAGCAGAGTGAAGGCACGGATATCTCTAAGCACGGAAATACACAGGAAAGTTACTGAAAATAACTGATCTCAGCTATACCACAGGCTTACTTTCACAATGACATACCAAAAACCAAGCCATCAGTGCTTGTGGAAGATGGAAGAAAGCCAAGCATAAGGTGCAGGAGGCTTGGACATCGTGCTCTTGCACGAGAGGATCCTGTGGTGGAACAGTCATTGCATGTTCTTGGCTCCACATTGCTGTCTGTTTTTAAGCACTGCAAAACCTCTGCCTTTGAAAAGTCCTTTCTCCAATGAAAATAACTCTTAACTGGCAACTCCATCTCCTACAGCAGCCTAAGGATGCAACCCAATCTATACTGTGTGCAGGTCAAAAATCCCAGTGAAGTCCATGCTGAGCTACTACATTTGGGGCTGAAGGCACTATCCTGGGTTCTGTCTCCCAAAATAAAAGAGTGTAGCAGGGAATAAAACCATTTTTAAGGGAAACAGAAGTGACAATCCAAGAGTTTGGACCTGTCCCTGAAGAAGCCTTGGCAGTTCATTATTCAGGGCTGAACCACATATAAGAAAATAATCCAAGGGGTCTGAGCTATGAAAATGATATTGCTTTAGGATTTGGAGGGATATCATGAGAGATGTTCATCCTAATAATTTCATCACTCATCCTAATAATTTCATCATTCATTAAGGATTGGAACATACTTAAGATTTTTTAAATGTCCTCATGAAAGTCTGTATCATAGAATCATAGAATGGCCTGTACTTCTACTCTGAAAGTATTTACATACACGCTTTATACGTACTGACTAATTAAAATTACCTGGGATAACCACATGCTTCAATTTAACATGCTAAGCATTAATAAACAAAGTGCATCTGCATATTGGCATTTTTTCATCTCTTAGGCTTGTGAGATTTTTTTCACAGTTGTATTCAGTACAATGGGAAGAACTGCATCTCCCACACAGCCAAGAGATCGCATGTAAGCTTTTGAAGTAAAAGAATTTTTCCAAACTATTCCTTTTCCATAAAAACACCAAATTTTACAAGTCCTCTGCACAGAAAACTTTATAAAATATTTCCTCACATATAATAACTTATTAACTGCATTCCTGACTAGTTTCCTAATTGGGCTGAGAAGTAAAATTACCATTCAGATGCCACCAGTTTTGCTGTTCAACGTCTAATTCTAATTTGAAAGCTTTAAAAAAAAAAACTATAAATATTTAAATTAAATATAATTTGCATTTGCTTACTGATTTTAATTGAGTTGCTGTTCTCCTGAAATGCGTAAATGTTTAAAGGCAGCGCAGTAGGAGGATTACATCAGGGCATTGAAGGTTCTGTACCAATATTAGAACACTTTCTTGCATTTTGCAGGCAGTTTAGTAATATAATTGAGCTGACACACAACTACTCAGAATAATCTTTAAAAATAATAACAAAAGGTACAAAAAAAGTGAAAACTGAGCTCAATTTGTGACGCTTAGCTGTCACTCCTCAGGACCCCACGGAGAGGAACGGTCAAACTGGACGCACCCTGGGCAACTTCTGTGTGTTCCAAGCCACAAACCTCCTTTTTTCATTCCTCTGCAGGAAGCAATAGCCTTCTAACTGGTCTTTTAACCCTACCACAAGGCTTCCAGAGACAAGCTCTCCCAGTGCAAGTATGTCTGAATAGGAATGAAAATAAAGAAGAGATTTGGGACATTGGATAGCAACAAGTTAGATGCCTGAAGCCAAGGACTGAGAACAAAAACATCGCAGGTATTTAATTAGAAAGCCAGCTATTAAAATAGATTGCGGTTGTTTAATAATAGTTTGTCAGTGAACTAATGTAATTAAATGTCAGACAAGAAATGGGGACGATATAACCATGACACTTCTTGGAGAGAATTAACTAGAAAGGAATAAACTATGAAGGTCATAAATCCAAGACTCAACTGCGAGTTGTTTTCTCTCTTGCTCCACAAGCAATTAGAAATGTTTTTTCCTTTTATCTTCATCCGTAAGAGGATGACCACAACATTTTGACCACAGCACAGACATTGAACCACTATGGAAAAGCTTCAAGGAGAGTGCCTGAGGTAGGATACACGCTATGCTCATCCCCCTTCCCCCAGAAGTGCTTACATAAAAGAAGTGGGAACCAGCAACTGAACAGCTTCACCCATTTTTTCCCTGTGTTCATGTTTTCTGTCTCCAAATAAAACCATAGAAATGGAGAAAAACAAATAGAGCCACGAAAAAACCCAGTGAAAGAATATTTAAACCCTGTTTGAGTAATACTGGATGCTACTAACTAAAGCAGAGGGCAATTCTTGTTTTACAGAAAACGACATTCAGCCATTACTTTGAATGGCTTCATAGCATGTAAGATAATAAAACAATATATACAATATATACATACACTGTCTGTATATCTCCAGAACATCTACTTCATCAGCAACAGAACACTTAGTGAACTGAAACAAAAACAAACACAAAACTTCCATCCAACAGAGCAATTCACAAACACGCATCCACAAGAGAGCAGAAGATAAACTCTCATTTTGCTCTAACATGACTATCATGAGAAAGAGCCCAATTTTAACACAGAACACCATTTCCTTCCACAAGCAACTCAGAGCAGTATGGAACAAGAGAGCCTTTACCCCTTCCATCCATCTCACTTCAATCTGTTATGCTGATTTAATTGGCAACATCCAAAGTCCCAAGGTGTGAGCACATAGCTGTTTCCTCATTAAAAAGTCAGCATGGGCAATTTGGGATATGCAGATTTTATAGAACACTCTTAGGAAACAGAATAAAGCAGAGCAAAGAGTAAACCATTAAGTTTTTTCACTGCCACAAAAAAACAGGCAGTAACGTTCTCCAGCACACTTGAATTTCCATCCTGTGGAACTCAACACTGAGCTGAAATTGAACTGCCTGCAAAGCAGCCCACTGCCTCTGATTTGGGCACAGTAAACCTGTAGCAGTTCTGCCCATCTTTCAGCTTTGTCCTCTGCCATTTCCCTTTTTACTGCTGCCCTTTGCAGTCAGATTGAGATGGTTGCAAGCACCACCAGTAGCTCTGTCTCGAGGACATTTGTCCTCTGACACTATCTTCAATTAGCATTCCCATTAGTTACCCAGTATACCACTGGTTGTAATTTTAGTGCAGTCAACCACTTCCTCCTCAATTGAGAGGAAGGTTAATGATGCTTCTTGTTACTATTACTGCATGCCTTGCATAAAAGAGGGAATGGATTTCTTAAATAAAAGGAGAAAGCATTCCTTTATTGAAACTCTCATTACTCTGTGCAACACAGCCAAAA